CTTTCGTGGACCTTCCGTACGCTCCACGACACCCAACCGCCACTGGTAGCGATCCTGCAAGAGCAAAGCAAATTATTCGGAAAACTCCGTCAATGGCAAGAATCCAAAACACGAAGGTTGGTAACGGTAAATTTATTGGAGTTTTTCTTGTGAAAAATTGACCCAGATGTTTTGAAGTCTATCGAGCGTTTATTTACCTGCGAGAGAGTTCACGAAAGAGAAAAAAAATTGAAAAAATGGAGCGATCCTATTAGTGGAAGCGGATGGTTGTAACGGACATTTAACGACAACCCACGAGAGACCCTATAGTTAGTGCATCATTTTCTCCTTTAGTCTGCAACAACCATTCGTTTCATCTCGTAATAGGATTGCTCCATCTCCCCTTTGATTCCATTGTCTATCGCTTTGACTATTAAGCTCAATAATGAGCCTGCAGGTAACCAAAGTTTTTTGCGCTCAGATTTGGACTCTTTACCAAAAACTTTGGTTAAATATCAGCCGGATTTCAGTTCCTTAGATATTGAACTTTGGTTATCTAGATGGAAAACTGAGAAGTTCAATTGGACCGAGTTTAACAGGAAGGAACCAAGCCACATCAGCTACTGTCCAATTATACTGGGCAATTACATTTTTTACGAGAGAACGTTTGTGCGGATTCCTTTGAAATTTGTAAGGAATTTGCTACAAACTATGGGAATTCTTCACTGAAATTTGCACAAAAATCCGCGCAATCGTTTTCACGTAAAAAATTACATTGCCCGATTAAATTTGGCAATAGCTGATGTGGCTTGGTTCCTTTCTGTTCAACGCGGTCCAATTTTCGTAACCATAGTATTTTCCTCCGAAAAGAGACCTATATGAAAGACTGAGACTTAGACAAATCAAGATTTGGCAAAACTTTCCGGTATTGAATAAGATATTCAGACGAAAATATTCTCCATATTATGTGCTTTACTATAGGCAGGCAGCTGTTTTTAAGAGCTCAGAGGTATCCCGATTGGATTATTTCGTTACACCGGCAGCAAATTTTTCAAAACGATCGTGACTTAACGCTTTTATTCAATTTCCTTGGAACTGCCATTTGCTTGCACTGCGCTCTTCCTTTAAGCGGCAGAGCGGAGGGATGTGATGTGATGCAGTTTGCACGTCTGAGTAAGGTTTCTTTTCGATCGACTTACTCCGAGCAGCAGTTTGTTTTATTGAAATGAGGACGCGTGCATTTTGTTTATCCGTAGACCGGTGAGGAATTCTAAACAGCGATAAGGAGCCTTAGCAACGCACAGTAGAGCGAGTCGCTGAGAGAGCTCGGATATGATGTGGAAAGTTCGAAAGCTTTCATTCTTCGTCAACACAAGATGTGAAAGTTTTAAAGTGCCTCTATCGGTTTCCACATCAAATATTCTTCAAGGAGCACTTCTTAGAATCTATAACGTGACAAAATAAACATTGAAATTTGCCATCTAGGTAACAAGGTGGTAAAATAGTGCTGGATTAACACAATTTTGTGGGAAAAGCGAGGCTGAAAGCTTGGAAACATTTCAGTTGCAGTCAAAATTGTTTGGCTCAAATGTTTGACTGAACTGACGAATTGAAGTTTTTGGTCTTACACTGGAAAAAAAACATATTGGCTCTAGAATCTAAACTCCTAAAAACATCGACAAGAAAAAGTACTCTTGATTCAATCAGAATCTAGCTTAAATCAAGAACCAAGCTTCTTAATTTAAGCGAATTTCGTTTTGATTCAAACAAAACTCCGATTGAATCAAGAGTATTTTTTCTTGTCAATGTTTTCAAGAGTCTGGACTCTAGATCCAAAGTGTTTTTTTTTCCAGTGTAATTTCCACGCACTGATTCCCAATTTTGATACACATACCGATGGTGAAACTGGCAAACCTCGTATCTTGGTTAGCGACGTTGCAGACTTCCTGTCATACTTTACTTTTTAAATAAAGAGCTACTCTACGCCAATTATTTAAACCCTCCTTGATTTCTCTCTCTGTTCGAAGAAAAGTTTGTGAAAACTTCAAGAAATAATTATGATATTTTGTTCTATTCCTCTAAAAAGTAAAAAGGGAGGGGAGATTTTGAAACACCGCAAACGAGACGCGTGGTTGGGAAGATTTACTATCGATACGGTTCGAGCCACATTTGGACTGCATTTTGCACTTTGGAATTATAAAAAATAGCTCATCTGAAAAAACACTTATGTGCATAGGGAAACTAATGGCACGTACATTGTTTTTAAACCGGGCCAGAATTTATAGTTCCAAATTGCAAAATGCAGTCCATTTCTTGTTTGCATTTTAAAAAAAAACAAATTTTTGTCCGACCTCCTTCTATCACTGGCTTCCCTGTGCGACGGAGGTCCTGTCTCATTCTCACACAGAGGTTCTCATTAGTCCCAACGACTCGACGTAATGGCGCGGTACTTGAACCTTTGAGCGAATTTGCGAGGATGGTAAGATACCTACTCCTATCATGATTGAATTCAGCAGTTAATATGCGACCACACCAGGCTACCAAAGAGAGAGACACGTGCAAAAGTGGAGNAGAAATAATTATGATATTTTGTTCTATTCCTATAAAAAGTAAAAAGGGAGGGGAGATTTTGAATCACCGCAAACGAGACGCGTGGTTTGGAAGATTTACTATCGATACGGTTCGAGCCACATATTTCTTGTTTGCATTTAAAAAAAAACAAATTTTTGTCCGACCTCCTTCTATCACTGGCTTCCCTGTGCGACGGAGGTCCTGTCTCATTCTCACACAGAGGTTCTCATTAGTCCCAACGACTCGACGTAATGGCGCGGTACTTGAACCTTTGAGCGAATTTGCGAGGATGGTAAGATACCTACTCCTATCATGATTGAATTCAGCAGTTAATATGCGACCACACCAGGCTACCAAAGAGAGAGACACGTGCAAAAGTGGAGTGTCATGGAAATGAACTAGTTAAAGTTCAGGCTGGAAATAGTATAAGATGTCCCACAGGTACTGCACAATTTTTTCTGAGAGGCTAATCGTGTGCTTACATCAAAATGCAATTTATTTAATACAAAAAATTTTCCACAACAAATTAATCAACCATCTTCAGGCAAAAAGTAGCGTCGACCTCTCAACTTAACTTTTGTCTCACCCGATTAGATTGATTAGGTTGTTACAATGGGAGAACGTGCCGTCACCGGCGTCACGCGCTTGCTGGCACTTAGAGCGCCTTCAACTATTCCTCTATGCAATCTGGGCATCTCTTGAGCACGAATAGTCGCATCCAAGCGCCGTCGCATCGGGTTGCAGCCCAGTAAAGTCCTCGGTCTTTTAAGCTCGCTTGATCCGCTCATAATTACGCACTTTTTTCCCCCAACAAGTCTCTCATCAATCATCAGTACTGCCGTGCTGAGCAAGAACGCCGTATGAACATTGGAGAGTTGTCAAATTTCCTTGGATAAATTGTTTCTTTTCCAGGAAAGTTATGATTATGTTTCCGTGAAATTTTCAGGAGCTTTAGAAGAACTTCCGCTCAAGATTATCTGGAACATTGGAAGGAAAATATTCATACTCGTATGTTTACCAGGAAATTTGGCAAACCTTGAAAGTTCATTGTTCATGTGGCGTTTCTCCTTACCACGGCAGAGTGGGCAAAAAGTATAAGCGTTGATTTCCGAAGGTATGTTACCTCGCCAGATTGTTTTGGCTAGATTTGTTGAGGCAAGGTCTTCAAAATAAATTGTCTCCGATTGAGGTACCCCCGTGGCATTTACATCCTGGTCCATATTTTTGCCGTTTCTTCGAGAATTTCAAGGACACTCTGATCAATATCCGAATCGACCTTGAAGTCGTAAGTCATCCGTTCGAAACCGAGAAAGTCGCGAACGAAATTTGAACGATTATCGAATTGATCTTGATCGATAAATCCCTATCTTAGCGTTGCTTTCTATCGATCAAGGTCGGCGAAAGCGATTCAACAACGGACGAAAGCTCAGAACTCTCGAGTGTCGTAAATGCTCCGAAGCGGACAAAAAATCTATTTCGGTAGTTTAGCCTAGTTTATGAACGCTGCCATCAAACGTCCCCACGGGCATCGTGAAATGCGAATGAAGCGCCGCGATTTGTATTTTACGTCGCATAATAAAGTTCTCGGTCGGTGAAGAAGCCTGGAATTTATAATTCCAATGGCCTCGTTCTTAATGGGGCTCACGCATACTTTGAAATTTGAGAGTGAAATGTGGAACCAGCGTGTAGGTGGTTCTGAAAAGGTGCGAATCAGGGTGTCTACTAAAACAGGCTGGCCAAAAATCAGTACTTTTACAGTACTTTCTCAGTATATTCTGAAAAAATTCAGTACCTCCTCAACAGAAAAATTCAGTACGTTTTCAACACCTTTGTCAACTGAAGAAATTTGAAAAATGTCAAAAATTTAAATTTTCCGCTCAAAGTGCGACTAAAATGACAAAAATTACTTTTTCAGTACTTCCGGACCGCCCTTAAAAAATCAGTTCTATTTCCGGAAATTCCGGACTTGTAGACACCCTGGTACGAATGAAATACATGGGGATATTCTACCACGCGCAGAAAAAAGTATTGTCAACTAAATTGGTCACCCGCAAATAGACTTAACCGGCAAAATCGGGAATGCGCCGAAAACAGAAAAAACTGTTTTAAACGAACCGCTCTGAATCTCGGAGCGCTAAAATATTAAAGCGATTAATTAATGTTTGACATTATTAATCATGCCGAGGTTTAAAATGGGTTGATTCATAGCCTTCACCGTTATCTTCGTATTGTCACTTCTGGCACTTACGTCTTTTTCGAGAATCACTTGTTCAATTAGCATTTAAATTTTGAAATCCATATTGATTTTGTTACATTTTGCGTCTTGTTTTTGATTCTTCAACAGAAGAGAAATCCAGCATCATGGTCGAACTAAAAGAGATAGAGTTTTCAATCATGCAAAAAGGATTTTATTGCAATTTTGTAAGATATCTATACTTATATGTTTTTACCTGGCAAAACAGCAGACAATCGACAAGGCCACAAACACTGCACATGAGACAATGCCCATTAAAAGAGCACCATACTGCTCCTCGCGAAAAAAATCTGCAACAATAAAAATTATAATTATAGTTTTCTCGAAAATACAATTTACGAGTGTAAATTTTACAAGATTGAGAAGTAGTTACGTTTATTCGTCTAAGAAACGACGATTTGAGACGGAGAAAGGAAATTCACGAGGATGGTGGGGATAATAAGCTTATAAATGGACGTATTTCTATCAAACAGCACTATGTGAATTATGACGTGAGCCCTGTTATGCGTGCATTCTTATGGGTCTCAGGGCTCATGCCTTAATTCACATGGTTCCGTTTGATAGAAATACGTCCAAATGAGAAAGAGAGTGGAGACAGCGACGGACTTGTTGAATATATTTTCTCCTCATATTTATTTATGTAAGCGACGTCGTTTGAGCTGAAACTGAACCGTCTGAAGAGCAAAGAAGCAAAAGCGAAAAAGAGGTAATTCTCGACAAAATTTATTCACCCATCTTTAAATATCAACTGCGCCCTACCATGGCATCGCCGTGGATAATCTTGAGTGACATTTTCTTTCTAGAAAATACAAGAAAATAACAAATATCAAACCGATCATTTGTTTTGGTTGGGATTACCAAACACAGAGACGATATACTTAAAAGATGGAGCACTAACAATCTTTCGAGTAAGGTAAAAGATAAATTCAGGGGTCAACGATATTTTCCGCGTAATGATGATAGAAGAGAAACTTGTGATAAAAATTTTTAAAAAAATTCTGTTACTCACTTGCGGTGATTTTTCACCTCAAAAAACCCATCGAATAAACCGCAAATAAACGCGATAAAAATCACGGCAAGTGAGTAACAGAATTTCTTTAAATTTGTATCACAATTATTGAGTTTTGGCGTCCCTCCCATTCCACGTGGTTTCGAAGAGGAACATGTTGGGAGGAAAATGAGCCAAATTGTACGGTTCACGCGGGCTTAAAATACAGATACTGAAAACGTTTACGGGCTGCACTGCATGCCGTGCTAAGGAAAAACGCCGTATGAACTTTCAGGCGTTGCCAAATCTTATTCGATAAAACACGAATTCCCTGGTAGACTTATGAATATTTTTCTTCCAATTTTTCAGAGAATATTCTTTGTATTTTGATCTACAGTCCCTGAAAATTTCAACGAAAAATATTCATAATTTTCCTCAAAAATGAACATTTTATCAAAAGGAATTTTACAACTCTCGAATGTTCATACGGCGTTCTTCCTCAGCACGGCAGTGCAGGTAAGATGCGACGGCGCTTGGATGCGACTATACGTGCTCGAGGGATGTCAACATTGCATAGATGAATAATTGAAGGCGCTTTAACTGGCGGTTAGCGTTTAGCGCCAGGGACAGCATATGATGAGGTCGATGAGCAACTTTTCAAGCAAAAAATCAGATAAAATTCGCCTGATGATGCCTGATAAATTGCAAGGTTAGTTTTTATGCAATTTGGGTTAGGATTGATGAACCAATCGCTTCAGCTTTTTGTCATCCGCCATCATTATGAGAATCTGATTGTGACAGTTTAAGCAGTTGACTTTCGAAAAATACGTTTACACTGTGGAAAAGATGTGCGGGTCTCTAAAGTTATTATCTCTGATCGAATATACCCGATATAAAATGATGTAACCACCAGAGAGTTTATTACGATTGAGTGCCGACCACTCTAAACGAATTCTTATTTTGTTTCGGTTGGCATCGAACTTCGACAAAAGTCATCTTTTTCCATCGGAAAATCATCTCTGAACAAGAGGTAGCCGGGGGACGGGTTAGAAAACAATAAAATACCCGGCGAGTGAAAATTCAATCCGAGTGGTTGTTCAATTCGTCGCCTCCCGGACAAAGAAGCGTAACTTCTCTCTGCAATGAACTCCGTCGTCCGTGCAATGTAATGCTTTTCCGGGCTCATCCCAGTGAGCAGTTACGCCCTTTTGTCAGTCGGGCGACAAATTGCACCGAGAGTCGCTGCGGAGTCACGCCCAGGGGGCCCAACATGCTTCTCTTTTCGTAATAAATCCATTCTTCATACCTCCCAAGTTCACATCTTGGTTGATATCCTGCCGTGCTAGGGAAAACGCCGTTTGAACATTACAATGTTGCCAAAATCTCCGGAGTAAAATGTTTACTTTAGAGAGAATGGATGACTATTTTTCTACGCGTTTCACGCATACTGACCGACCATGGAGCAATGCGAGAAGTATACTCATGCAGTATTGTAGGCTCTAATATGGGCTCACGCCGACCGCACTGATTGGCGCAATGCGTGAAGTATTCATACAGTCTTGCAGGCGCTGATCTACGTTTAACGACAACGTTTGATACACGTTTGTTGAGTTTGATGTGTTTAATGTGTTTCATGCATTTGTTGTGTTTGTTGTATTTGTTGTGTTTGATGTGTTTGTTGTATACCTCCCAAGTTCACATCTTGGTTATTATTGTGCCGTGCTAGGGAAAAAGCCGTTTGAACATTACAATGTTGCTAAATTCTCCGGAGTAAAATGTTTACTTTAGAGAAAATGGATGGCTATTTTTCATTGAAATTTCCAAGTACATTCGATTAAATTGTGAATAAAATTCCGCCAGGAACTGGATGAAAAATACTAAGATTTTCATGGAAATTCACATTTATCAGAGAAGATTTGACAACGCTCGACGGCTCTTACGTCGTTCTTACTTAACACGGCCCGTTCAATCAGTTGTATGATCATTTTCGTGTTTTAATTTGTTAAGCTCATAGTTATGGCTTATCGACGATGAAACTACCAGACCAATACTGGAAAAAAAAAAACAAACAAATTGGATCTAGAGTCCAGACTCTAATTTTTCTTGTCAATGTTTTCAATAGTCTGGACTCTAGATCCAATGTGTTTTTTTTCCAGTGAAGTATCTCGGTTTGCGACGTTGCAGACTTTCTGCCATACTTTAATTTTTGAACGGGAAACCACTCAACGTCAATTCTTGAAAACTTCCGTGATTTTTTTTCTCGCACTGAGAAAAAAATTAAGCAAAAACTTCAAGGAATGATATTGCATTGTTCTCCTCCAACAAAATATCATGAGAGTGGAAATTTTCAGACACCGCAAACGAGATACGTGGTCTGGTAGTTTCACCGTCGTCATGTTTCCAGTAGAGAGTGCATGCGTGCAACGGGCCCGAAACATCCCGGTTGTTCGGTATTTTTTTCTACTTTCAGCCTCGCTGAAAACAATTTCGAGTTTATTTCTCTCGTATTTTTTTTCTTCATTAAATTGCCGCTCTCAACGAGGATTTTCATCGGATTTCATTCCGATGACCCTTTGCACCGACGAGATCAAACGACAGGCTCCGATTTATTTTCCTAACTTTTTACGATTGTTCGGTTCGCGATGAGTACCAAATCGGCCAATCAGAGGGTGGGCTGTAAAAACGAATGTCTGTGAACTCAAAGAGCTCAGGAGAGGGGGGGGGGGGGGGGGGTTGAAAAACAAACAAATTCAATGGCATGCCCCCGGCCAGGGGCAAATCGCCAACTGTTGATGTGCCAAAACCCATCGCACTAAACACATCCAGACCGCGCGAGTTATGAGACTCGATAAACGATACGTTCGGCTACGCCTCTGTGAACTCGATGTGTTCGGCCACATAAACTGTGAGAAAAAGTAACCGAAATTATGTGATGATGGCGTAAGTAGGACATAAAGTGGATCGCGTTTAGCAAAAGGGAACCAGCGCGATTACAGTGTTTTTAAAATCGTGCAACTTCCTCTTGCCTTTTGAAAATACTCAATATATGTACAGTGTTGAAATGTACACAATGGACCACTAGACAAGGTACGAATTTCAGCATTCTGATACATGATCCTTGACCAAAATTTCACGTAAAACACGATGCGCACAACAAAAATTACCGCAATTAACTCCTTGCGAAGATGTTTAATGATTCTTGATGCGTGAATTCAAACCACCCGATCATGAAAACTCAATGCTCTACGTGATTCACATCGCGCGCTAAACGTTATCATGACAGTCTCTGCGATATAAAAATCTGGTAACCTCAATCTTGACGCTTTGGCTCAGCGATAGCAAATTGCTAATAGTTTGAACAACACATGGTTGAAAATGAACATTACTCGATTGAGAAGCTCTAAGAGCTTTGAGTTTCTTGTGAGCGGGCAGTTCAACTGCCTCTTACCTAATGTGAAATAAAAACGTTGATATCTTTGTTAGGAGTTGGTTTCAGTAATTTTCGTTGTGTGAATTGTGTTCTACGTGAAATTCTGGTTAAGAGACAAGTATCAGATTGCTTAAATTCGTACCTTGTCTAGTGGTCCATTATTTTCGTTTAAAATTAAAAATTTATTGGTGGGAAACAAAAACTATTTGCTATCCTGAGAGTTTTTTTGGATTATTATGAAGAAGCAACATTTTTACATCACTCTAATCGCGCTGATTTCTTTTTGCTAAATGCGATCCAAGGAATCTAGACCTGTAGACCTGAGGCTAGTATCTCTTGGGTGACACTGGCCAAATCTTTGGGTTCAAAATTTACGATTTCGATGAGAAACTTACGAAGCATAATCTTCTCAATTTTTCTTGAAAATATAAATATTTTGTTGGAAGAAATTCGACAACCACCGAGTGTTCATACAGCGTTCATCCTCAGCAACAGTAAGCAGGTCGGTCGCTCTTGAAGTTGAATCCTAACAACTATCGAGTAGCAACCTTGCAGATTTCCCCGTCATACCAATTCTTTTTACGGAAAAGTACAGTAACATATATATATCCAATAATATTTTCGTGAATTTTCCTCCTGCTCAAAGAATATCCTGTAGAGATATTGAACTATGACGTCGTCTCATTTCCCACCGTAACAAGGAAAGAGGAGGAAATTTTGAAACCGAATGATCAAGACACAATATTTCATAATTGAATTACATTTTGCAATCAGGAATTACTGCTTTTGGCTCATCATAAGGATAAAATATGAGCCATTGATTGTACCACGTGACTTTGAAAGAATCAACATGTATACTACCAGTGTTTTTCAAATTTTTACGGCCTAACGGAGGACTTAATGGAGAAGCACACATCAAAGGAAAATCTCTTCAATGTATTCTGTTTCGCGTGCTCCGTGTCTCATAAATTATTCGGTGGAAAAAAAGCCAAGTTTCAGATTCCAGTACAGCTGTATTGGATAGTTTACGCCGATGAAATATTCTTTAACGGATAACTTCTTTGAATTAAATAAAAAATGTAAAAATTCCAATTCAATACAAAGTATGAATTTTAATAAAGTGTAAGATCGACCTCTCCGAAAATCTCCCACCACTACGCGTCGTGGGTATTTGCAATGTAAATGGACAGCGACCAAAAATAGCTCACCCATATGAATCAGTAGATGTGAAAACCTAAAAAACCCATCCTATGACACCTGAAACCCACCAGAATACTCCCATATGAGGGCTCTTAGAAAAAGTAATGTTGGATTTTACCGTCGTTTGGTATATGTGCTCGTATAATATGCTAGCTTAAGAAAGTTTAAAGGCACCCATTGACTATCCTGCGGGTCGATTGTTGAGTCGTTATCGAATGACCTTGATCGATATATATGCCATTGTGAAGATAGGGAGTTATCGATCAAACTCATTCGATAACGACTTAAAAATCAACCTGCAGCTTGCCTGGGATCGGAAGTGACTCACTTGAAAATTCCTTCTAATGTTGTTTAAATCAAGGGCACATAAAATCATTGATTTCAGTTTTATCGGCTGGAAAAATGGCGTATGAGCCTCCAGAAGTTGCCAAACTTCCTTGGACAAATCATGCATTTTTGGGAGAATCTGTAAATTTTTCTCAAAGAATTTTGTTCGTAATTTGATCTAAAGTGTCTAAAAATGTCAATGAAAAATATTCATAACTTTCTTTCATTCATCCTTCCCTTCTTATGATCTTTAAATTGAGGGCACATAAAATCATCGATTTTAGTTTCATCGGCTGGAAAAACGGCGTATGAGCCTCCAGAAGTTGCCAAACTTCCTTTAACAAATCACGAATTTTCGGGCGAATCTGTACATTTTTCTCAAATAATTTTGTTCGTAATTTGATCTAAAGTGTCTAAAAATGTCAATGAAAAATATTCATAACTTTCTGCGTTATTTACCAAGAGTGAAGTTGGGACCATTCGAATGTTCATACGGCGTTATTCCTTAGCATGGCAGTAACGACCTCGGGCGCGGTGATTCGTGTGTGCATCAACCCAATCTTCAATATTAAAATAAGTTAATATATTCTCATTTCAAGGATAAATTATATATCAGAATAAAAAATAACAAAAAGACATAAGTTCTTTTCTAAAACTTAGTGTTTAATGATATGCCTTCAGGCCAGCCCACTGTCTGGATAGGCTCCAATTTTTAAAATTCCAATCAAGATGCGTGATACCAAAAAATGATTCATCGGCTTGATATTTTAAAGATTGATGATCTCCATTTCAACAAAGTAAAGAGGGATTTTTTAATCATGCGATCTAGGTTGTGGCAAAAACTGCCTACTGGCAATTACCGAATCGATTAGCAGAAAAATGTATCAGTGAGATTTTTCCCCTTTTTTCCTTTTAGGGAGGGTTGACCACTGACCAGGGTGATTAAACCGAGGTTGATCCCATCCTTATCAGCCCAGTTTTGGAGAGGCTGGATGCAATTTACTCCCTCTGAAAAACGGTTTTGAGATGGGTACCTATTCCTGTAAAAGATCATGTTTAAGAGTGCCTATATACCTAATGGGTAATGTAAAAGGGGTCAAAGTATGAACTTTCAATAGTGCAATGGTCAACCAAAAGGTAGGATGAGAATTAGACTTCTCTAAGACATGTTCTTCTGTTGACATTTCCAGCAGAACACATTACAGAACATACCGTAAACATCCAAAGGTGACTAATGAGCGAGAAAATGACGTTCGTGGTTACATTATGAACATTGAACTCAAACTTTCCGCTCGCGAAAAACCATGATCAATGTAGATTGAGTTAGCAAGTTCGATTTTTTGATGGGAAGGGATTGTAGAAAAAAAAGAGCAACCACAACTCTCAACCGTCAAAACTGCATGCACTCGAGCAGACTTTCTAAATACTCGCGCATGCACTTAAAAGTACTCACCACCACTGCTCTCTATGCAAAAAGTGACGTCATCACAAGCTGCGCCGACATGATGATGGCTACCAACGTTCCAGTGTGATATCCGTCGAATCCAGGCCGTTGCGTTCGGAATCAGGAATTCGGTCTTGAACTGGACATTATCTCTGCGAACAAAAACAAAATTAACGTTACTCAATTTCCACTCCAGAGAGAGATTCGACCGTCCACAGCAAAAACGCCGTAACTCCACTCAAAATGTTTTCCTGTTTTCCAGCACGTACTGCTTCTTTACAAGAAAATTCAAAAGCCACAAGGCTTCATTTTTCTTTATTTTTAGTTCTTAATGGTGTGACGGAGTTATATTGCAAAAATGAAGGATGAATATTCGTTGGGTTTTTTTTAAAACAGCATTTTGTCAGAAAAAATTGAAAAAGTGTTGCATGGAGTTACGGCGTTTTTACTTTTGACGGCAGGATTGATCTGCACTTTTTTTTTTTTTAAATTTATGTAAAAAAAAACACACCATTCTTTGTGCGACTGTATTACGCACGCCGTTGTGTTATTCTCAGGCAAACAATGGACCACTAGACAAGGTACGAATTTCAACATTCTGATACATGTTTCTTAACCAAAATTTCACGTAAAACACGATGTGCACAACGAAAATTACCGATATCAGCTCCTTACGAAGATATTTAATGATTCTTGGTGCGTGAATTCAAAGTATCCACTCATGAAAACTCGATGCTCTACGTGATTCACATCGCGCACTGAACGTTATCATGACAATCTCTGCGATATAAAAATCTGGCAACCTTAATCTTGACACTTTGGCTCAGCTATTACAAATAGCTTATAGTTTGAACAACACATGGTGGGAAATGAACATTGCTCGATTGAGCAGCTTGCTGAAACCGTTGTAGTGCGCGATTTGACTCACGTAGAACTTTGAGTTTCTTGTGAGCCTGCAGTTCAAATTCCTCGTAACCAATGTGAAATAAAAACGTCAATATCTTTGTTAGAAGTTGGTTTCAGTAATTTTCGTTGCGCGAATCGTGTTCTATGTAAAATTCTGGTCAAGAAACATGTATCAGATTGCTTAAATTCGTACCTTGTCTAGTGGTCCATTCGCAAACATGGAATCCGGGCTCCAATGACGCGGGCCTCCTAATAGGCAGTCCAAGAGTCTGAGATCTAGGCTCCATGAATTGGGCCTTCTAATAGGTCGTCAGCTAATTCACGATTCTGCGATCCAGACTCCGCCTCTTCGGCGAGTCGGGAGGGGGCCCAACCATCTAAAAGCGTCAAGCCTGTGGGTGGGGGGTGGGTCCCGTTTGCAATGGCGGGTCCCACCAACCGCGACTTAGTCACCAGCGTGGATGGCTGCCCGGGACTTCGTTCTTAATAGGATACTTCATGAATAAAAATACTTTCAAGAGAGGACAAATTTAATGACAACATTCGTCATAATTTAAAAGCTTGTTCGAAAAGTTTCAAATATTTTCATGAAAGAGGCTAAAGCTATTTTCGCGACATATATTTACATAAAGCGTTTTTTATAATAAGTGGAAGCAGAATAGGACCCAGTCGCACCAGTCTTTACCAAATTTTATAGGACGATTTGTTTGGGGGGCGGGGGGCGGTGCTACGATTTCTTTCGAAAATTTTGGGAAAAATCCTTCACGTCACAAACAGCCGCTGAAATTTCCAATCTACTCTACCGTTCTCTCTTGAAAAAAATACAAATTCTAATGGAATTTGGCAATGACTGATACGACCTAGTTCTTTCCCCGCTCGATGCGGTCTGATCAATTTTCCATACAAAATATTTTGAAATTTTTCAAGATATTTTGAAAAATGGATTACACTTTGCAATTAAAAACCACCATCTCTGTCTCTTTCATGAAAGCACCTTTCTGCATAGCGAAACCAATGACATATATTCAGTTTCTAAGCTGAGCCAGGAATAGCAGTTCCTTATTGTACAATGTAATCCATATCCAAACTTAGAGATTCTCTCTAGTTTCTTTTCGCGAAAACCCTCGTTTTATAACTTTGATCCGACAACCCCGGCCTTCGCTCTGCTGAAAGCTTCCCGCGGATATGCCGAAGAAAATGAAATTAGTTTTTGGAGCCGGATCACTTTCAAAGCAAAGAGAAACTTCATACCGCCCCCGCCGTCACTCATCCTACCCGAATCCCCACACTGTCATCCGAATTAGCCAAATTCGACAGTTTCCGCGATCGCTTGTCACTCGCTATCGCGAAACACCGTGTCCTTTTCGAACGCTCCCGCTCCGACTTCTTTTGTCGATCGGAAGAGACCAGTAGCGTGGCGTGAATGATCGATTATCGATATCTCGCAATTTGAAGCTATGGTAAAGAATCGATCACTAAGGTGTTCGCTGCGAACACCCTGATAATCGATCCATTTTCATAGGTTTGAGAGGCGTATCAATCGATATATCGCAAAGCACGCCACACCACTGGAAGAGACTTCGCAACGAAGTTTCCCGAGCGACAGCCCGGAACACAAACTTCGCTCCACGATTCGAACTTGACCTTCATCTCATACCTCGCGTATCGTGCTTCGCGATAAATCGATTAACCTGCCATTTAAACCTACGGAAAAGGATCGAGTGCAAAGGGGACCCGTGATAATCGATTCTTTATCGTGGCTTCGAATGGAGAGATATCGATTCGCTGCTGACTTGTTTTGGGGCGTCACGTAGAGCGTGGGTTTCTGTTTCGCGTAATGTATTGCCCCGCGAGATAATAGTTTTTTTTTAAAACGGATACGCTCGCATAAATATTTGAATCGTCCCGATTTCTACGGTTTTTGAGTTTTGCTCGGATTGTTTTCGAGGTCGAGACCGTGGGCGGTGCATCGATGGCTAAACTCAGGAATCACGTGCTTCCCCTAATAACACGATGTTGCTGGGAATAAGATTTTAAAATATTCCTGCAAACTATGATATTTTTCAGAAAAATTTCTTTAAAACGGGGAAAAACTGATACACCCCTTTTAAACGTTTAAAGATGAATTTGTGTAAAGTTTACCCGTTTTGTAAGCGTTTTAAAATATAAAATAATACACTGGAAAAAAAACCACATTGGATCTAGAGTCCAGACTCTTGAAAACATTGACAAGAAAAAATACTCTTGATTGAATCAGATTTAAGCTTAAATCAAAAGAAAAATTAAGAGGCTTGGTTCTTGATTTAAGCAAAAATCCGATCGAATCAAGAGCATTTCTATTGTCCATGTTTTTAAGAGTCTGAACTCTAGATCCAATGTGTTTTTTTTGCAGTGTAAAAGAGTAAACAGTTTACCGAAGCATACGCATTTTGATTTGGGTTTTAAAATAACTTTTCAATGTTACTCGACTAACATTTGCACTTCATTTTGCAATTAGGGATTATAAATTCTGGCTCAGTTTACAAACGACGTATGTGCCATTAGTACCCTATGAACATAAGTGTTTTTACGGATGAGCCAGGAATTATAGTTCCTAATTGCAAAATGCGGATCATTCATAAAACGTCAAGTCTTTAAAACCTTTAAAGTTTGAAAGTAATATTCTCGACAATTATAAAGCAGTTTCAAAAAGTTTTGTAAAATCATTTTTCATTGGCCGATGTGAACCATGATGGAAAGAAGAAATGATGATAATGCAGGATTCTAATGGAATTTTACGCCCTGTGTTGACATTAATATGTACTAAACATCCAAATCTTCAGCGAAAAAAAGTCCTCCGTTTTCATCTCAAAATCCAATTTTTGGACAGAAACTCCTCTCCTTCGAATCTCCCCTCAGTAGACTAGGAATTGGGAATGTCCTTTTTCCGCGGAAGATCACAAATCGTCGTCCCTCTAACGTAAGGGTGTATCTACAATTCCACGCAAGCCCTGTTCCCCGTATGACTCTATGCTTTCTAGAGCTCACGTGAAAATTGAGATACGTTCTTACGAATTTTACTAAGAATTTTACATGGAAAAAACCTCATGTAATTTCTTGAGAACTTCCCTGACTTTTCTTCTCTGGTGGAGGAAGTTGCGAAAAATTTCAGGCATTATAGCGTGTTGATTTTTTTCCCTATGATCAAATTAGATGCGAGGGGAAATTTTGAAACATCTCAAACGAGGTGGGCATTCCTGAAGTTTCGCTTACAGCTGTTATGTCGCGGGCCGATAGTAAAATCAGGCATATTGTCAAATGTCTAGGCAACCAATCAATTTTTCTTACTAAGGTTGAAATTCTGATTATTTTCCTAACTGTATAGACAAAATATTCATTGAACAAGTAAGCAAGAATTCTCTTTAAAAATTTGCATCATACAATAGTATTTGAAACGAGTATTGAACGAAATGTCATCTTGAAATTTTCAGGATGCCATAAAATACAAAAATTTTAAAATTTTAACAGAAGCATTTGAAGAGGACGGAACAAGAAAAGTTCGTATATTAGATGAGTTATTTTTCCAAAAATATTGAAAACTTTTGAGCTCTCTACCATGATTTTACAGAATTGACAGAACTGTCGATATTCGACCATCTGCCGAGGCATTTGATGGAATATCAGATTTGAGACATCGCCAATGACAAATGCATCCTTAAGGTGATTCGATGGCCGCCATATTTTGTGTCGGAACGGCATGCAATACATCGCATCAATTCGTTCCATTTTTAAAGCTTCTCGTAATTTTTCTCGAATTTTGAGATCGCAATGCTGTTGTCAGGAGACTAAAGCACTCACTCACCAATTTTAACAAGGAAATTCAACGTAATAAAGACGTGGTTTTTTTTAGAGAGAAAATATCTCATTCAAGTGCAGTTTCGATATCAGTATCGAATGCGATATTTTCTCTCTAAAAAAAACAACGCCTTTATTACGTTGAATTTCTTTGTAAAAATTGGTAAGTGAGTGCTTTAGTCTCCTGACAACAGAATTGTGATCTCAAAATTCGAGAAAAATGATGAATAGCTGAAAAAATGGAACCAATTGATGCGATATATCGCATGCCGTTCTGACACAAAATATGGCGTCCATCGAATCACCTTAAACGACTGCAGGAGGTTCAACGTTCACGAAAAATATCAAGGCATCGTGTTGCTTAGTTTTTCGGTTAAATAAAAACAAACAAAAAAGGCGGAAATTAGACAAC